ATATTTAAATTTATCTATAAATGTAAATTTCAATAAGAACTAAACTAAAAACTAAAACATAGTCATATCCTATGGGGTTTGCACTTTCTATAAATCAACAGACTGTCACCATAAAACAGAATYCTGCTTTGTTGTAAAGCTAAGGGGCTAATTTTGCTTTATAACCCTGTCATCTCCTGCCATCCAAATAATCTCATCAAGACATGTAATTTAAAACTTCACCAGGTGGTGGCAGCTTTTCATCATTAGCCATCCGCTTTATCACTTGCAGTGACATTAATCACCCCTGTGCTAAACAATGAGCACGACCGTGGATAATGAGTGTCATTCTGAAGGAAAACATGAAGATTGAAACCGAGTCTTAGAAATAAACACGATGCTTCATTTAAACAGGGTTGCATTAATAATAATGATCATCTTCCCCCACATTGTGAGACCTGCCTAATTCAGATGTTTGTGTTTCTACTTTACAGGCAGACAATTTACAGATTAACAACAAAGAAAAGGAGAGGCTCAGTTCATCGCTCCTCATTCCTCTCTCAGCTCAACAGAGCCGGTCCAACATCACGCTGTGCAAAGCTGACACCATATGGAATGTGGTTGTAGACTTGAAATAAAGTCAAGCGATGCAAATTTGTCGTGCTGGGCGCAGATGCGTTGCAGCACGCACACACACTGCGTGACTCACAGCTACTGTACARCGTGCAGCAGAATGAGTCCCATTTTTACAAGCTGGGCTCAGACAMCACTCCTGTCTGTTGGGCTGAAGATTGCTGCAGACTGCGGGGTTCCCTTCCACGTGGCCGTGGCAAGGCAGCCAACTTGGGATCGCAAAAGCCGCAGGTTCAATTCTGCGCCATGCCCTTATGTCTCTGTGAGAAAGACACCGACTTCCCCAAATTCTCCCTGGGCGCATCTCAACATGGAAACGCGGCGATGGCAAAACATATCACCGCATAGCATAATAAAGTTTGACATCTGTGAAATACAAGCTAAGCTAAATATAGGAAATGCTGACAGCAGAAAATCTAAATGTTTAAGATTCTGTGCAACACATAGTGTTACAACCTTAAAGGGYCTGTGGCATCATTTTTTWAAATTAAATATGAATGCATTKTTGGAAAGATACCATTGATAAAATGTTGCAAAAAAGATTTCACGCCACTGAGATGAACAGTTGTTGAGAYATATGCACGTGAAGAAACAGGAAGTGATGTCAAAGGGGAATTACTGCATGTAAACAGASCKTTGCTGCAATGGCTAGCACCACACTGTATGGMAGAATTTGAGTCACTATCGGAGAGATGAAGAAGAGTCAGTTCAAATAATAGTGTTTGTGTCTCAATTTAGTGGTTGTAGACCACGGTCCACGTAGGCCACACCCTACGTTGGCCATCGGCCGCCTGTGTCGGCTGCATAAATGGCTGTGAAACGAGACAGTCTAATCTACGGATGATGTACGTTTGCGTGACCACATCCTGTCCCATGACCGTGATGTAATGTTTTATTATGGTACAACTTCACAAAATTCAGTAAAAATTAAAACAATGTTACACGTAAATGAAAATAAAATCCATTAATAATTTGGGTTTCGCTCCAGCATCAGTGCTCATAATTGCTTCTTATTTAACATCGCATTACTTCATAGATTTCATTGCTAAACAGATATTTAAAATAAAATTCTTCGGTCCGTGAAAAAAAAAAAACTATGCCTTCTTTGTTTTTCTTTTTAGTTTGCTGACAGCACAATGAATCCTGGGATATCAACAGCTGCATAGGACAGTGTTTCCCAACCCTGGTCCTCAAGCCACACTGCCCTGTATGTTTTAGAAGTTTCTTTGCTTAAAAGGGATCCCTGATTAGTTGTAACATTAGACTTTATTTGATAAACATATACTTTAACTGTGAAATAAAGACTGTAAAAATACTGTAGGATGTTTAGTTTTGTAAATTTTAAAAATATATTTTAACAGGGACGGGGCCATTTTATTTWSACAMAAAGYATTCTGGGTAAATGATGACRTGGATAGGTCCTCAGTGTGAGCGAGCTATATCCACCCTGAAGGTTAATCTTGGACAATATCTGATGATCGACTCTTTTAAATGAAACCAGAGAGCGTTGACAGAGAGGAGAAGGTAGAAATGACTCAGCCTGTAACTGAAAATATGGATGGAGGACAACAGAGCTGCTTCATGGAAGAACCTCAGCTTAGCCTGTTAGCCTTCGCGCTAGCGCCAATGCTATATTACCTTATATGCATTAGCTCGGCGCTAGTGCGACAAACTAACAAGCTAAACTGTTGTCCTCCATCCATATTTTCAGTTCCAGGCTGAGTCATTTCTACCTTCTCCTCTCTGTCAACGCTCTCTGGTTTCATTTAAAAGAGTCGATCATCAGATATTGTCCAAGATTAACCTTCAGGGTGGATATAGCTCGCTAGCAGCCTCGCACCGAGGACCTATCCACATCAGCATTTACCCAGAATGCTTTGCGTCTAAATGAAATGGCCCCGTCTGTGTAACATATTTTTAAACTTTTAGTTTAAAAATGATAAAAACTGAACATCCTACAGTATTTTTACAGTCTTTATTTACAGTTAAAATATATGTTTATTAAATAAAAGTCTAATGTTACAACTAATGATGGATCCCTTTAACACGCCTGGTTCAGATGACTGCAGTTCAACAAAAGCCTGTTAATCAGTTATCAATTCAAATAAGCTGTGCTGAAACAGGGAAACATCGAAAACATGCAGGGATGAAAAACAATGGCTACTCTGATGCAGCCTTCATTTTCTGAGTTTTATTGGCCGTGTGAGTAGGYGCCTATGAATTGGGACAGCCTACAGCATGGGGCAGTGACGTAAGTTAGAGGTTGCCATACTGGGGTCCCTTGAGCAGTGGATTGGGAGTCCTCAATAAATGACAATAAAGTTGTTTATTTTGGTTTTTATCTTTCAAAAATGCATAAATAAATATGTGGAACAATAAACCAAACATAATATTCCCATGGCATTTTGGGGTTAAAAGGACAGTAAATTATTTTTAAATCAACATGAGGTTTATGAGGGGGGTCCCAGGAAACGCTCCACTCGTGTAAGGGGTGCCCAGACCCAAAATGTTTGACAACCCCTGAGTGACCAACAAATGCGCTCTACGTCTGCTGCAACACCTGAATTGAGACACAGCCACTGTTTCAATAATCAAAGACCAGAAAGTTCCTCCTTTCATCATAGTTCCCCTTTGACGTCACTTCCTGTTTCACTTTGAGCCAATTTCAAAAGAAAGTAGGCCAATTATGTGACAAAATGAGTAAAATCACGTGTGTTATATAAAAATGTTTTCTTTGACTTTTTGTATTTGACATATACACATGACACAGGCGGTTTAAAACATTTAAACTTGATTGAGGAAGCAGATAATTTACCGGAGTATATTTATCCAAGATTTGGTTTAACGGTGAAGGTCTCGTAACCAGCATTGAGGAAAATGGCGAAAAGTTATTAAACTATTTTAAAAAACGTTATTAATTTAGGAACTTGTCAGTAATAAAATATCGAATTTATGCCAAAACTACACAAGGTAGATGAGGCATTTAGATATCTAACAAAA